AAAAATATTGTAAGCACACAATCTTTGTATTTTTTTCTCCACATTATAATATAATATTCATTCTCTACAAATTATTTTATCTGTGTGTTCTTGTGATTAATTATTTCATATTGTGGCTTAATCGCTTATTTTTTCCAACAAAGTGGTATCAGAGTTATCTGGTATTGTCTTCCTCGTTTCATAACAAACTGGTATTAGAGCATTTAACAAGATACACACAACTTAAACAATAGAGGAGAAACAATGGAGAGATCGAAATGCCCTATCTCAAATACATTTTCATCTTTCAAATAATATTCTGCAAGACGTTTTGAAAGAGAAGTCAGCCATTTCATTATGGTTAAAATTGGACCGATTATGCACGACGAAGAGTCTTATGAGCAAATTGCATCTAAATCAACGTCTATATTCTCATCGTATGACTGAAGATACATCTCTTGAAGATAACCTAGTTGTTTTTAAAGAAATCGTCATTGATTTAGAGATATTGCAGGTCAAATATGACAAAGAAGACTTGTGATTGATTTTGTTGTATTCATCGCCCCCCCTCATACATGTCTTTCAGAGACACAATACTATATAATTGTGATACTCTCACCATCGAAGAAGTTTACGACACTCTATATTCAAAGAAGAAGATGAAGCATCTTGTAGCATCTGGAGATCATGGAGATTGTCTCATTGTTCATGGTGGTCGTTCGAGGAGCAAGTCAAAATCTAACTTCAAATTTTGAAATGATTGTAAGAAAAAGGGGCACTTGGTAAACGATTATTATAAGTTGTAGAATAAATCAAAGTTAACTGCAAATCAAGAATCAGAAACTTTAGGAGAAGGAAGTATTGCAGAAAATTCTAGCAGTGATGAGAGTTTCTACTTATGTCTGACTACAACTCCAAACTTGATGATGCTTGAATTTTGGATACAGTGATGGAGAGCTTGCTTCTACTTTTTTGCCTTGATTGGTAATCATTAGATCGCTTTTACCCCTAGTTGGGGAAACGGAGATGGAGAATATTTTTAGTTGGAATTTTAATGGAGAAGTTTGCTTGTGTTTTCAATGAAAAGTTTAAGTTTATTCGATGCAGTGGAATTTGTCTCCAGGTGGACAAATTTTTTAAGAGTTGTTCATTGCAGTGAAATTCGTGTCAAGGTCGAGATTGTTAAAATTTGGGTATGATCGGAATTCTTTATTGAAGATAATTGAGAGTTCTAATTAAAGTACACACTAAGAAGAATTCCATTTGAAATGCTATTATTGAAATCTAACTCAAATTTACTTCACGAATTCTAATTGAAGTTCATTGAGAGTAGGAATTTGTGCTGGACTTGAAAATGACTTTGGAATGAAGAAAAATATCTTTGGAAGGTTTTGGGATAGAGACGAGACTCCAATGGGTGCTGCCCTACCTGTTTCGCCCCTACGCGATTTTTCCTGTTCTACTCCATTTTGACTACAATTCTATTATATGAGGACTTGGATGTCCCCTGCTTATTCTCTATTTATAGTTGAATCTTTATTATGATTTAGTAAAAAATTAGAAATCTTGTAAACACATAATCTTTGAATTCTTTCTCCATATTATAATAAAATCTTAATTCTCTTCAAATTATTTTATTCATTTGTTCTTGTAATCAATTATTTCATACTGTGGCTTAATTTCTTATTTTCTCCAACAAAGTAATATCAGAGTTATCTGGTATCATCTTCAGTGTTTCACAACACAGGGTCTACACCCATAGGATGAAGGGGCTTCATTGCAATGTATTCTGATTCAAGTGTGAAAATTGCTTTATCAATGTATGAGATTCGTAAACAATCCCATCTAAGAGATTCATTCTTGCATTCCAGTCTAACTCTCATTCTGTCTGTCACTGGATCTCCACTACTTGACAATGCAAACACTATTTGGGAGTCTCTTTCATTCTTGTGATGGCAATGAAATGTCTCGTGGTAAGAGTCGCGCATTGATGCGAGGAAAAATATTCGTCCAGCTCCCTAATTTGGTGAAATGTTGTTTTAATTCATTAGTATGAATACCTTTGGCAAAAGTTATATTACTTCTGTGGATGTGGTGTGGGGATGTAAACACATGTTGGGAAGTGGAAGCTATGTAGCATCGACGCAGTGGTGGAAGCTGTGATAGTGGTGGTTGTGGCGGTGGCATTGGATTAAGCTGTATGATGAAGAAAAAATAATAATAAGATCATTTTAGAAAATTTATTGTGCAAATTTTGAAAATGTGCGGTGGCGGTGTTGGATTGTGGGGTAGGGATAGTAGCGATGGCTGACTAGTCGTGTATTAGGGTAGGAGTTGGGGAAGGTGACCATTTTTCTTGCCTTTATATTCTTTTGTTAATTGTATTTAATGGTGATCTATTTATAATTTTTGAAAAGATTTAGGTTCTTGTTGCAATTTTTCCTTTATATTTTTAATTAGTTGTTTTCTTTTTCTTTTTTATGTTTATGTTTATTTAAAGAGAGGGCAAATTCATAATTCTACGTGACTTTAACGGTTAAAATGGACAAAATGACGAGTTTTTGCTACAATATTTTTGGTTGATGATGTCTGATGCTAAAAAACATTGAAAGTAAATTAGTAACAATGTACAAAGATTAGAAATCAAATGTGCAAATATCCCCAACTTTTAGGCAGCTCGTAATACATGAATATTTTTCATTTCGAGAAGACTAAGAAGGCCAAAAGGTTTCAGCCATAATGTTTCCCTTGTCTATCTACTATTATTTCAAAATTCCTTTTTTTTTTCAAACTTGTTTTTATTTGCATATTTTCACAATAAAATATTTTATATGTAAATAAAAAAAATTCTCTTACTTTTTAACTATACATCCTCCAAATATTCAATACTCCAAAATTTATTTTCACTTTATAATGATAGACAAACATAGTTTAATGTATCGACACGTAGATTAGTAGGAAGCAATCTTAAACGAGAAAAATCACCTGTACAGCCCACACTGATTAATTAATCAGTGGGGTTCCCACTAATAAGTGGGTGCTGTAAAATGTAGGACTGTACATCCAGTATCTCTCATCTTAAACAACTAATGGTTTTCTATATAACATGTAGACACGTAGATTAAAAGTAAGCAATCTTGAAAACTAACTTTTTTGTGTCATTTTGCCCTTGTTTGAGTCTCATTTTTCAATAATATATTTTTTTCAAATTTATTTTCAACCACGCATTTATCTTAATAAAATGATTTTACAAGCAAACCTAAATTATTTTATACTTTTCAACCACATATTCTCGAAAAAATCATTATTTCAAAATTTATTTTGTCCAAATAATGAGACTCAAACAAGGGCTTTGTTATATGACTGTTGAGGTATCTTTACTTTTTGTCTATCGATATATCCGTTGCACGACTTCGTGGCATTTGTTTAAGCCCATGTTTGGTAGAATTTTCTGCAAAGAACAAGTTTTTGAATGGTGAATTTTTAGAGAATGTGTAGTTAAAAATAGAAAAAAAAAATTGGACTTCAGTGAAGAATATTGCATTGTGAGAATGTGTGGTTAAAAATGAGCATAAATTTTTTTTTTTTTTGAAAAGAATGGTTGTCAAACATGGGTTAAATTTATTTGTTGCCAAAATTCGAGTATGGAAGATAATCAAGTTTATGATTATGCCAATAAATTTCTTATGCAACAATTAGCGTGTTACTCCTAGAGATGACAATGGGACGGGGCACCCCCTTCCCAGCCCTCCCATTTGTAATTAATTTTTTTTTTTATTATTCAGGGGGGGGGGGGGGGGGGGGCGGGGCGGACCTGACGGGGCGGGATAGCATCGGGGCAGGACGGGGTGGGTTTTTTTGCCATCACTAGTTACTCCCACAATTCAGGGCCTGTTTGAGAGATTAAAAAAAAAAACAAACAAACAAAAAATTAGAATTTGATGAAACATTGATTGAAAAACCATTAAAAGTTCATGTAAAATATATTATTAAAAGTGAAATTTGACAAGTTCAAAATTATTAAGGACGTGTATGGTTTTTTTTTTTTCTCAATTTTCAATTTTGAATTTTGTGTTCATTTCCAATTGTTTATTTTGAGGGTCTATTTTAAGATTTTTAAAAATGCATTTCATTTGTCATTTTAAAAATTATTTCTCAAAACAAATAATTAAAATGATTGATTTGAAATTTTGAAAAATTATTTTATCACATTTTATTCCATAAATTTTGATTATTCAATACATTTTAAAATTTGTAAATCTTACAATATTTTTTCTTGATACAAAAGTAATAAATGAATAATAAATTGAGTTCAAAGTATAGAAAATAAAAATAAAAATTAATGACGTGTATTGAAAATATTTTTATTTGAGTTTATTTAACTATTTCTTTTTTTAGAATTTCTTCGTAAATAAGCATTTGGAGCTTAAACTATTTTTATTTTTATATTTTATAATTTTTATATTTTAGAAATTTTTATAATTTGTAATTTATTTTATTTTATTATAATTTAAAATTTTTATGTTTTAGAATTTATCAATTTTTTTTTCTTAAATTTCATTTTTCAAAACATCAAAATGCATTTTAAGTTTTATGTTATAAGTTTATCCTTATTTTCGAAAATAAATTTTTAAAATATTAGATCAAATACGAGTTTAATGTTTTTCAAAATTAAAAATAGCAAACCAAACTCCTAAAATTTTATCAAACCAGTAATTGGTCAATATTCCAAAATTTTCATATATATCGAACGCCTATGGCCAGGTGAAAGCACGACATTATTTGAAATTGGAGAGTACAGTATTGGATCTACTGTAGTCCATTAGCCTCATTTCAGTGCGCCGCTCATGGTCGCCCCTCTCTCCCTCTACTTTGTTTCCCTCCATTGCACCGCACCCTCAAGTCTCTCTATCTCGCTCTATACACACACGTATGTATATGCATACTCGTCACCATCTTATCAATACATACTAATGTATGTAAAGATCCGGTTGAGATTAGATGTGATGGGGAAATGAAGCATGTCGCTCTCTGCCTCTTTCTCACCCAATCAGCTTTCTCAGGTCCTTATCTCTCTAATATACGATGTTCGAGTGCATTGCACGAATATTTAAATTTTTTTTTTTGTTATTCATAATTTTCGCGGCTTCAATTTGTGGTCTACATTAAAAGTAAATGATTTTGGGCGTGTTTTCGAATTTCACGATTTTTTTGCTATTTATTATTAATAACTGAAGTTTTGGTTATATTGATGTTTAATGTTTCAGCTTTCAAGATAATTGTTTTTGAAAATGCATTATTCTCAATTCTTTGATTAATATTCGGCGCACTAATACAAAGTGAATAAATATACAGAAAGATGCAGTTTTTCTAGTATCTATATAACAACTTTTGTTAGAACGTTGTGCATGGGACACCCAATTACAATTAAAGTAGAAATGAGAAAACCGAAGAAAAATGATAAACAGAATAATTTTAGGTGGTCGGGCAAACAGTACAAGGATTGCACTATAGCAAAATGATTACAACACTTTCTCTCATACATAACGAGAGCACAATTGACAATACTTCTCTCTTAAAATAGGAGAAATATACTTTGAGAAAGGTAATACTAAAACTATTTAGGAGAAACTCGCTATTATTTTCTCTCTAAGGGCCTGTTTGGTACGGCTCAAAATCCAATTAAAATTGAAAATATAGCCGTTATTGGGTCCCACTTATCTAATAAAAGTCAATAATAACGGCTAGTTTTTTAATTTTAATCCGATTTTAATCTCTACCAAACCTCCTCTAAAACTCTCACTCTTTCTCTCTGTGTTTTTCTGCACTTCAAAATGGATGATCCCATATGTGTTGTAGCTCACACATATATGTAGAGGTGATGAGGCGGTAATCCATTAGCTTATCCACTTGTCAACCTTATATCCACTCGCCAATTTTATCCATTAGCTTGTAGTTATTCACTTGCCAAGAAGATAAAGACATAAGTGGCTTAATGAATAAAAAAGCCAAAAGTGACTTTAGAATCAACATTTCCTTCTTTTAAAGTCACTTTTGCCACAACTCTTCTGTCCTTTCTACATTTGCCATTCTTGCTGTTTATGTTTCTGCTAGGCCAATAGAGGATCTACTCCAAATAAACTTGTCATTGTTGATTGGCTTTGTTAATATATTTGCTAGATTATCTTTACTACGGATTTTCTGTATATCCACACTTCGTTCTTCCACATTCTCACGAACAAAGTGATACTGAACTCATATGTACTTTGACTTCGAGTGAAATGCTGGATTCTTTGCTAAGTGCAAAGCGTTCTGACTATCACAAAATAGAGTAGTTTTCTCTTGTTTGTGTCTGAGCTCCTCTAGTAGCATTTGCAACCATATTGTACCATTAAGGAGGTACGGCACGTGAAGGGCCTGAAGAAAAATCTATTGAGTTATGGCAAAAGTGATTTTAAGTGGGAGAAATGTTGGTTGTAAAGCCACTTTTGGCTTTCTTATCCATTAAGCTACTTTTATCTTGCTTATTCATTAAGACTTTTGGCTTTATCTTCTTTGCAAGTGGATAGCTACAAATAAGCTAATGGATAAAGTTGGCAAGTGGATAGCTACAAAGCTAATGGATAACCGCCTCACTATTTATATATATGTGTGTGAGCTACAACACATATGGTATTACCCCATTTTGAAGTGCAGAAAAACTCAGAGAAAGAATTTTAGAGAGAAAATAATAGTGAGTTTCTCCTAAATAGTTTTAGTCTTTTCTTTCTCGAAGCGTGTGTTTCTCTTATTATAAGAGAGATGATATTGTCAATTGTGCTCTCCTTATCTATAGAGAGAAAGTGTTATAATCTTTTTGCTATAGTGAAATCCTTCAACAGTTTGTCTGTAGTTTTTTTTCCACGTAAAATTATCGTGTTCATAATTTTTTCTCGGTTTTCTCATTTCTACATTATCCCGTACTACAACGTCATAATAGTGGTATCAAATGTTAGTTGTAAGGCCACTTTTGGCTTTTTCTTCTTGGCAAATGGATAAAGTTGGGAAGTGGATAAGGTTGGCAAGTGGATAGCTACAAATAAGTTAATGAGTAACCGCCTCATCACCTCTATATATATGTGTGAGTTACAACACATGTGAGATCATCCATTTTGAAGTGCAGAAAAACACAGAGAGAGTTTTAGAGAGAAAATAATAGTGAGTTTCTCCTAAATAGTTTTAGTCTTTCCTTCCTCAAAGTGCGTGTTTCTCCTAATATAAGATAGAGAGTATTGTCAATTGTACTCTCCTTATCTATAGAGAGAAAGTGTTGTAATCTTTTTGCTATAGTGATATCCTTCTACAGTTTGCCCGTGATTTTTCCACGTAAAATTATTGTGTTCATCATTTTTCTTTGGTTTTCTCATTTCTATTTTAGTTGTAATTGAGTGTCCCGTACCACAACGTCCTAACAACTTCAACCCTGGTAAAAGGTGACACCCCGATCTTAAATTCCCGAGTGTCATTAAAACTTATGAGTTTTAAGTGTGTAATAGTAAGAAAAATTATATGGGATTATCAAAGCAATAAAAGGACTAATGATTAATGCTTCCAAAAATCTTGACATAAAACGAAAAGCATCGATGATAGTCACTTAAATCCACAACATTAAAAAATATATTCCTTGAACATATTTCTTAAATCTCGTCCATAAGACATCTCCGTACTTGACTATCTCGAATTGTTGGTTTTATGCAAGGGGTGATCTAGTTAACTCCGGCCCTCTTATCATAAAAGTATTCGTATAGAACCCACAAATTTTATCCCCTAAAATAATAACACCATAGATAAAATTACATAACACAATTATCCGCTTGACTAAGGTTTGTGGATATTCTTTGAATAACCCAAATTTACCATTGATTTATTAAACCAAAAGTACTTTAATGGGTGTATTTGTGTATGTGCGTCGCAGGTGAAAGAAGATAGAGGGATGTGTGTAATGGTGGACGTGATTGAGTGGTGAGTGTATTTATAATGGACCTTTTGATTAAGAATATTTCCTTTTGCAAATAGTCAAGGTTTAAAAAGACTAAACTAAGTACTGAGTTGATTTTTCTTTATGAAGCGAGGCGTAAGCCTCATAAAAAATAAAAAATCTAAGTAAAAGAATTATCAAATAATACAAAAAAAACCAAAGTTTGAGCATATAATAAATATGATATACAGTCATTAGCATATTGAGATATAATTCACCTAAATAAAGAAGATGTTTAGAGAAAAAAAGTATTACAGAAGTTAGAAATCACTCCATTTCCAATGAAAAAAAGCCTAATAGTTTGCACTATCATCACTATTGATAGCATCGTTAATGGAATCATCATCATATCTAATTTCTCCATCATCTTCCTCTTCGCTACTCTCAATTTCTACAAAATCATCTTCATCCAATTTTAGAGTTTATAGAAGTGATTGGATGAAATCGTGTGTGTTAATTATATAAATCAAAATATTTATAAAATTTATAATTTCTAGATGTGTATATGAAACTAATTGCATGCAAGATTTACTGAACCCTAAGAAGAAAAAGAAAAAGAAAAGAGGAAAAATATATCAGATGAATTGATGAAGAAGACGATACTCTTCTTGAATTCTAACTTTTGAATTTTTGTTGAATCTGTTCCTTTTTTGGTCCTCTAATTTCGGTTGCCGTTTAGTTTTCTAGGTATTTTATTGTTTTGTTTAGACCCAAAATGTCTTTTTAAATGGGATTTTTTCTTTTTTAAGAAGGGTCTTTTCTGATTTTTTTTCATACAATTGAAAAATCAAATTTTAAATGAGGCGCACGCCCCATGCTCCATGAGGGTGCGCGCTCTAGATTTAGAGGCGTGAACCTCATATTTTTAGCCTACAAAATATCACCTCGAGGCATACTACATGCGCTTCACAGTGAAGCGGGCCTGAAGGCGCGCCTCACTACCGCCTTTTAAACCATGCAAATAGTGCAATTGGTGTGGAATCAAAACTAGAATTCTTGAAACAAGAATAAAGTTAAAAAAAGAGGAAATTATGTAGGTAATATTTTAATTGTATTGAATTGAATTGATTGAAATGATTATTAGAAGTATATAAATCATTTGTTTATATAGACAAAATAATTCCCAAATCTTACTAATATAAAGAAAATAAACTAAAATCTTAAAAGGAAAGAAAACTAAGTTCTTATAAAATCAATCCTATTTGGAATAAGATTATCTCACATCATTCTTTTCTACTTTAAAAAAACGCGTCCTCGAGTTTGGTTGAAGAAAGAAATCAATCAATCTGGAGGAAAATACTCAAAAAAATTTCTGATGTCAAATATTAACCAAATGTCCAGCCCTTTATTATAAGCAATTGCATTGAATAACATCACCTTTGCTCCTACATTGCTCGTCTTCTCATCCTTAAAGACTTCCTGTTGGAATTTCTTTATAAATGATGCTTTATCAATGTCTCATTCTTGAATCCCCTACGTGCACGTATAAGTACTGGAATTTTAAATTATTTGTCCTTCTCATGTTCTTTTTTTACTTCTATTGATGTCATCGTCAATGCTACAATTCTTTCGCGATTTTCTTTGTACTTGTGCAATTCTTTGGGATTTAGATCGTAGAGAAGATCAACAAAATCTTAATTCTCTGACAAGCTTCACCTTTGATTCTTTCATGATTGGAAAGTTCAATTCCCCTTTCTTCTGTTGGACATTTCTGAACTTCTTGTTCATCGTTAGGGTGCGACTCAATCTTAGGGTATTCAATTGCAATTTCATCGAAATATTTTCATACTTGTGCTTGTTTTCATTGTCAAATTTCATCTATAAGAAATCAACAGGTCTCGAGTTTGCAAATTGCACATGCTTTTCTCTTTCTATTGTAGTATCATGGTCGGTAACATCCTGATCTTGAATAACATCTTTTTTAAGCTCATCATATGCATTATAAATTTTTTTGCTCTTTGTTTACTCTAATATTAGAAAATTGCTCAAGTGACACCAAAGCAATCTTCTTATCATATCACCTACACACGTATATGTTATTTTGACCTATATGAGTAATATTTAATTCATAGTACCGTGGTTGTCTCCAAAGTATATGACAATCATCCATTTGATACTACATTATACTCATTTTCATCTTTATAGCACTTTCCAATTGAAAATAAATTTTACATAACTTAATGTTTTGAATATCTTGCCCTTTTTAACTAATAGAACTTGATAGCGAGATAGTATTTTTCAGTCTTCAAATGTAAAGCTTTCACCAATGCTTTGGATACCATGTTGTTGTTACTCCCATGTTCTATCATGACATTGCATACTTAATTGTTGATGGTGCATCGTGCTCAAAAAATCTCGTCACTATGATATTTTTTCACAGAATCTTTAATAGTTTTTGAGCATTCAAACTTAGATGGGATTGGAGGAAACCTCTAGCCACATGTTGCCGTGTTCTAGGCTTGTTGAAACAAGCAATACTCATAGCAATAAAAGTCTGTAAATTTTTGTCTAGGTGTCTTCAAATATATTCATCCATCATTCCAGATTCTGGGCCAAAGTTGGTTTTGCAATCCTCTCATCTTCGAGAGGATGTGTACCACTACCACCATAGGTAGCTATCAGCCAAGGCAAATCTTGATCTGATACCAATTTTGGTGCGAAAGCAGTACTTGAATTTTTGAAACAAGGATAAAGTTAAAAACTATATAGGGAATAATTTTATTGAATTGATTGAATTGATTATTGAAAAGCGTACATAGCCTTTGTTTATATAGGCAGAAAAATTCCCTAATTTTACTAATATAAGAAAACTAAACTAAAATCCTAAAAAGAAAGAAAACTAAAATTCTAATCTAAAAGAAAGAAGAAGAAATTCTATTCTAAATAAAAAAAGAAATCATATTCTAAATAAGAAAGAAGAAGAAAAGAGATAAAATCAATCAAATTTGAAATAGGATTGTTCTACATCAGTAATTTTGCCTTTTCAAAATATTTGATCACTCAATTATATATTTCAATCTTTATATGTATAATACACATAATGCATCGCCAATCATTTAATAAAATACCTTTGAGCTACTATGTATGGGAAAATTGATTGTTTATCTTCATGCTCAATAAATAAAGTAAATTAGAATGAATTATTCATTAATGCATTCCATTATTCCTTTTCTAAAATATGTGATTATATAATAATATATAATTATTTATATATTTTAACATGTAATTGCTTTAATCACATATTTGATTGCAAGACTAAAATCCCCATCTCCCTTAATTTCCTCTAACTCTTCCTAACATACAAGGCTAAGTATATTCGTAATGCCACTTACTTCATTCCAAGTTTGATAGGACTGGAATCACAACGTGGTCCTCACTACATGTTAGTAAGCTATGAGAGGATGGTATTTATCTTCTTTTGTTGCATTTCTATGTTCATATATTGTTCTTACATTTTTATGAGCCCTCCCATGTAGGCAACTTTCGTAAGCACATAAATATATCTGTATAGAGTTTGACATGTATATATTGTGCTTAATCATCTCGTGGACCGATAAAAAGTCCTAAATTCAGCTTTGATTGATGTTTTCTGGTTCAATTTTCTCTATTTTGTCTGTGCGTGATTTTCACGAATTTATGATGCACATTGATGATTTTCAGTGAGCTGTTTTAAGTAGGTATCAAGTCTAATTTGTACAAGGACAGAACTAAAGAAATATTATAGACTCAATGCTGTTACCACAAAAAAGATTGATAAAGAGTCGTACAATGTTGTGACTGTCAATTGTTTTTTGCAGATGTGCTATTCTGGGCTCAAATTAAATGAGAAGAGATTAGCGTCTTTAGCGGGGCACAAAAGAAGGGGTCAAAGTCAATGCTTGTGGATCGTCAAATCAGTCTTGAATAACAGGAGGTCATCAAGTATTAGTGAGAATGGGGCAACTGAGCCTGCTAGGATTCTTCTGCAGAGGTTGTTTGTGCAAACACAGAAACTGGAGGAACAGATAGGCAGAGATCCTCATTCGCCTCTAGTTTCTGAGCTAGGTTTAAATCTTGGTAAGCTGGAATCGGATCTTCAGGTTGCACTGCTGGCCTTGAAGAAGAAAGAAGAAGATTTACAAGATGCAGAAAGGAAGGTATTGTTGGAGTACAATGAAATAAATCGTGCAAAACGGGACTTGGAGCAGCGGGAGGAAGAAATGGAAGCGGCTAGATTGAAGCAAGAAAGGCTAGAAGATGAGTTAAAGCAAGCTAATATAAACTTAGCTTTGCAAGCTATGGAAATTGGTGATCTTAGACTTTGTCTCAAGGAAAGGGAACAAGACATTTCCGCAGCTCAATCTGCACTATCTACGAAAGAAGAGGAAACTGTAAAAATGCAAAATGAATTGGCGAAGAAGAGTGAGGAAGCTGCTGATACTGATTCAGAACTCAGATCCAAGGCCAAGCTCCTGGATGATGCAAATGGAATTGTGAAAAAACAAGAACTCGAAATCCTAGAACTCCAGAGAGCAATTCAAAAAAAAGAAGAAGAGCTAGAAGTTTTCATGAGTATGCAGAAAACTGAAGCAGAGAAATTGAAAATTGCCAAGGGCAGTTTGGAGAAACAAGCAATGGATTGGCTAGTGGCACAGGAAGAATTGAAGAAGCTTGCAGTGGAAACAGCTAAGCATTCTGGGGAAGCAAATGAAACTATAGAGGAGTTCGGAAGAGTGAAGAAGCTTCTTGCAGATGTGAGGTTCGAGTTAGTTTCGTCTCAGAAGGCTTTAGCCTCCTCTAGACAGGAAATGGCAGATCAGGAACAGCTACTAGAAAAGAAGCTTCTTGAACTTGATGAGCAGAGGCGGCTTGTTATGTCCTATGCAACGAGTCTGAAAGATGCGGAAATCGAAGTGGAGAGTGAGAGAGTAAAACTTAGGGTCGCCGAAGCTCGAAACAAGGACCTCGAAAGGGATTTATCCATGGAGAAAGAGCTTATTGGAGAGTTACAAAAGAAATTAAATATGGAGAGATCCTCCTTGCAACAAGCAATTCTGGAAATGTCAGCTCTCCAGGAGGAGCTAGACCGTAAGAGTAATGAATTTGGAGAGAAACAGAGTCTTCTTCAGGTCAAAGAGGCCGAATTGGTAGAAGCTAGACTAGAGATCCAGCACTTGAAGTCTGAGCTGACTTCTCACCAGCTTATCTTGGATGAAAAAGATCTGGAACTCTCAAGTGCAAGGAAGATGATGGAGGAAGTAAACCGGGAGATAGATGAGCTGAGGGGAATTATGAACAGTAAAGAAAATCAGCTTATTCAAGTGATGTTCATGCTGGAGGAAAAGGATGAACATGTTCAGGCAATGCAACATGAACTAAATGATACGAAACAGAAATTCTCTGAAGCTGAAGCAGTGTTGGAACAGATTGTAGAGGTGACTAATGAAGTGGTTCTGTCAGTAAAGGATGAAAACTATGATGCTCTGGGCGCACATGATTATATCAATCACCTTTTGTCACCAGAGAAATCTGCTGATAATTTTAAGTGGCAAAAGAAACAGCTTCAAACTGAACTTGGATTTACCAGAGAAAGTTTGAGAACAAAGGAAATGGAAGTTCTTGAAGCACAAAGGGCCCTCTTCATTAAAGACGAGGAGCTAAAGATGGTTCTTGGCAAATTGGACACCAGAGAGCAGGAACTAACAAAACTGAAGGAAGAAATTATCAGAGATCGTGATGAATTGAAACAGCTTTATGCTTTAGCACAAGAAAAAATGGGCGAAAAGACTGTTGGGGACCGAGTAATTAAGGAACTCCAATTGGAAGCAGCACAAATGGAGATTGAAGCTGCAACTAGTGCTCTTTATAAACTCAGAGTAATGAGTCGAGAGCTTCTAAATAAATTTAGTTTGAGCATGGATGTTGATTATGATACCAAGTTTTTTGAGCACAATGATTCTGACACTAAGATAAATTTGATTGACAACAATGATTGTCCTGGTGAAGTTAAAACAGAAGTTGCTCGACTTTTGGCTTTGACTGAGCAGCTTGTTGATGAGGCCGGCATTGTTAGTAGCACAAGCTAATAGAGGTAATGTCTAATTTGTTGACTAGATGGTAGTGCATATATCTGTATCTAACCTATTCATTGTCGTAGGTTGGGTATATTTGTTCATTATGTTGTACTTCATCTGAATGTAGACTTGTTGGTTGTATCTCCTATACTGCATATTTGATTGTGTTGGGGACATGATATATTTGAAACAGTTGATTTTTCCTTTCCTTTTTGGGTATCTTTGATTCTTCCAGAACAAGATTTGGGGCTTTAATTTATATGATAACATTTCAAGAAGCACGCAAAAAGGGGGCAATTTGATTACTGTAATTTCAAGATACATTCTTGTGTTTCACTGTGCTTTTGCTGAAATTAATAACTGGTTATGATGTGTTGAAATTCCTAATTTAATTGTACGAGAATGAGAAATTAAGGAAACATTTGAACTGATAAATCAAGGAAATATTCAAACGAGTTATAAATAATTAAGCGATGACATATCACTCGTAGAGGGGCTTCCAATTATTTGTACCTGTGAAGGCTGGTTATACGTCTTGGGACGTTATTTATGGTCATTCTCCTTTCTTTTGGCTTTGTTAGTCCTGAAGTAGCGTCTCGCAAATTCATCCCTCGCCCTTTTATTGAGCTTCTGAGCATGTCCATGCAATACTCGGCCAAAAAAGGAGAACGGAAATATTCATAACTACCAACGTCCGATAAAAAATGCCGATGTTTTTGTGATAGGGTAATTGCCTGTCAATTGTCCACTCTTATTCTCCTTTTTACCTCGGTAATGCCAGACGTGTCATAGCTCGAGACTTAAAAAGAGTCCTATTGCTACTTTGAAGGCTAAAGAGCATTTAGAACCATGAAAAAGAAAGAGAACATTCATACAAAATGGCAGTATTTCCTACTATAACAACGATGTCAACGGGTTTGTTAGGTACTCCCATTTTCATTTTCCGCTGAACGTAAGAGTGACAAGAGTCGGGGCCAAAGGACATCATCTTGGGGAATGCAAGTATCCAAGGCAAAGAAGAAAGAAAGAGTCTTTTTTTGTTACGCCTATACATAATGTCAATTATATGTTGTCGTTCTCAGAGTGGGGATGGCTAGTAGTGAGTTCCAAAGACAACATCTTACTTTTAGTCATAATTGGGACATTTTTACTTAAAAATCATATTGGAAGTTTCCCTTGAAATAATGAGGCACACATAATAACATAAACATAATGTACAATATACACAAGCTCATCGAACTTAAATGTAGGGATAATTGCAGCTGCGGTCCCAAACCTTTCAGATTTTTGCGCATTTTACCCTAACCTTTGATTTGTGCCGGCGGAGGTCCCAAACCTTTAATAAATATGCGGCGGAGGTCCATCTGGACGGATTCCATCCAAATCGCCGTTAGTCAACCTGAAA